CAAGTGCAAAAGTTTATATACAGTCGCTGGCTGATCTAGACCAATTTGATGGGTGGGGGACAAAATTTTGAAAATAGTTAAATTTTGACGGGGGACCAAAATTTTGATGGGGTGATCAAGATTTGTGGTAGTGTGGCTGACGACCATTTTTGGTCAATTTTTTACATAAAATGGTCTCTTTTCAGACTTTTATTAAACAACTGCTAACAACGGGGGTGGGGCAGGGCCCACCCTTGATCCACCATTGTTTATATACATTTAAGTTGTAAAAAATTAAAAAGAGAAAGAAATAATTTTAAAATTATAAAACGAATACAAACATCAGCTTTCTTAGAAGCAGCATATACTCTTGCAAGCTCGTTATCAATCAACTCGATGCTGATGGGAGCAATTTGTTGTTCCTGCTCCAACTCTGACACGATGTTCTTCAAATCATCGATGACGGTGAGGACATCTCTCGACTCGGCACCAACTGCTATCACGTGAGGCTTCTTAGATAAAATCAAATCTTTCAAGCGAACCAGTTCTTTTTCCTTTATTGGAACATTTTTAAAAATAAGCAACGCCAATACAACATGTTAACAAACAAAAGTTACAAATACAAATAAAGAGCAGACTTACAAAAATCATAAAAAAAGTAAATCAAACAAACCTTTGCAACCCTCTCATCCTTGATCCAACTGTTTCTGCGTGTTGCAAGGTAAGGCAGCTTCAAGTAATCAGTAACTTCGCCACTGCCATCAATTATGGCGCAGTAAGATGCCTCGCTTCTGAAACAACAAAACAACATTAATAAGTATCAAACAACTTTCTATAATTAGTATTGTATATGCACTACTAATAAAATAAATTATCAGATTAATTTACAACTTAAAAAAATGACAAACTTGTCATCAGAAAAGGAGACCCCCATGATCCGCAGGCCGTTAGATGTATCATAATCCTCATCCTCCTCGTCCAAGGGCTGGTCGACTTGGTAGGGAGCGACCTTCAAGCAGGAGTACAACTTGCGACAGCACACCCTCATCACGTGCTCCTTTGCCTCTTCCAACAACTTCATCTTGACTTGCTTGATGAGGATTGGGTAGAGGATGACATTCAGTGCCCTCTCGACTGCCAGGGTTCGCTGCTTGTTCCACTCTTGAACAACGTGACTGTACTCATCCTGATTGCAAATACAATTAAGAAATTCTCACAAACATGCGTGCAAAATGGCTGCAAGTTATTTCTGAACGAATCAGAAAATATGAAACACCAGATGAACATGTTTGCTGCAATATTTTTTGTTTCGCTGAACACTGGATGAACGTATTTGTTCATCCGGCGTTATATCAAATAAATTATCAAATCAGCGCTTTTATTAGACTCATGGAGGAATTATAAAAAGAAAACACAAGTGCTTCTGACATCTTCAACACCAAATTAAAATTAAACCAATAAAACTTATCTAGAAATATATATATACATCAATTATAAAGAATACTAAATTAATTTCAATCTTTTGCAGCTAATATGAAAACAAATCAACAAATGAACAAACCCTTATGAAGAGCTGTTTTATTTCTTCATAGTACGTATATCGCACATTATCCTTATCATCGAGAAAAAAATCAACTTTCAGCAATCCATCTTCTTCTGCCTGCATGTACGTCATTTTAAAAGCAAACATCATTCCACAAATTCATTCATTTCATATCAAAAAGTAAAAACGGATACAAAATACAGCAAGAAGACAGACAAGCCAAGGCAGAAATATGTTTGAAAATGTAAGACACTGCTGTGAAATACGAAGTGTGACGGACCTGATGAATCTTCAAGTACTGATCCTCCTGGAGATCTCTTATAGGTTTAGAGCGAAGGTATTTGAAGCTGTAGCACTGGTGGCTCTCATCTATCTCCTGCAAAATTCAACACATTCAAGTTTATTGAACACGATCAGCGAATATTGAATTAACTGTGCATGATGTGAAACGAGCGAAACTACAACAACAGCATGGAGGAGTTACTAACAGAAAATCCTTTGCTGGTGGGTCTGACGTTCATCTTGCACCTCTCCTGAAACACCTGCCTGACGCAAGACCTGACCAGCGGGTCGTAAGCAATCTGCATGGAGACTATATGGCGGGACCCTGCCAAGACGTGATCTCTAGAGCAGAACTGCCTGTGTGGTTTCAAGAGTTTAAAAAATTCAGTACGAACGTTCATACACACGCCACGCCAGTTGATGTAAAGAACTAACCCTTTAATAAACTCTTCAGCAAGCTCATTTGGGTCACCTGGATCTTGCTCCACTTCGTGTCTCATGTAGTTATCGTTGATATTTTCACCAAACTGCTCTGGCGTTAAACCAAATCTTCGAGCCATCTCACCTATGGTGTTATACAAACAATGTTAAATATGCTTTTCATATATAAATAAACACACATACAAATATATATATATATATATATATATATATATATATATATATATATATATATAAGTGTGTGTGTGTTTGTGTATGATGCAATTAATAATATTTCATAATTAATAATTAATTAATTAATAATTCATAAATAATAGTAATTAATAGTAATTAATAAAATTTCAGTAAAACAAAACATGAACTTACATAGTCCTGCATCGACACAGATATTGTAGGCCGATCTCTTAGGAGCTTGTTTCAAAACACTGGCTTCTTCGTCATGAGCTGCACTTCCATCTTCACCTCCATCTTCTGCAAGCTTTCTCTTAATCTTTTTCGCCATTTTCATCCTAGTTACATCATTTGCATAATAAAGATTGAAGTGCTGGTGGATGTCATTCAACTGTTCCATGGTCTGGACTGCCTTCACTCTGCATCAATTTTAGAAAAGAAATGTTTACAAGACTAACAAAATATGAATGCTTGAAAGATGAAAGTAGATGATTGAAGCCACCTCTCAATGTCGTCCTCTGTCAATCTCCTGAAGGAAGCATCCAGTGGCTTGTCCAAAGATGCTTCTTCGAACTGGAATTGTTGCAACTGTTCAAACAAGTGCAACAGATTCTGCTTCCTCTCCTTCAGTTGCATCCACTGAAATTACACGTTAATTATTCAATTAACAAACAAAAACCAAACAAAGCGTGACTCCCATATGTCAAGACACTTTCCACCAGGATCAACATTACAATAAAACTAGTTAAGATCATTTTCATAAAGTAACATAAACCAGCTAATAGAATAATTAAAAAAATCCTATGTTTTGTGGTTAATTTTATATGCATTGTAAACAGTTCATCTAACAAGAAACAATAATAGTGAGTGTAGTTAGTTTTTACCTTTTCATCCCAATGAAAGACCTTCCATAGATCTGTGATGTTCAACTCCGGGTCTATATATTCCTTTCTGTAGAAGGCTATGAATGGCACCTACCATGAATTTCAAAGTACAAATGTTATTTATTACAATCATCAGCCATGTATTTTAGTCTTCGGTGAATGATTCGTACTGACTTTAAAAAAATTACGACCACAAACCAAATTATTATTATTATTACACAATCCTTATTACAATGATACAAGACATTTGACTGGAGCATGTGCATCTAACAACCCTTCCTCATCATTTACTCGTATCCCATCAACCACACTGGCTTAGATAATTTACATGGCCGAAGGATGAACAAGTTGAACAAATGGAATAAAAATGAAAGTTGCAATGAAGAAATGAAGAGTGAACAACCTCGAACTTTTGGTTGCGCATTAGATTGAGAGCCTCTCTTATCTTGTTGACAGTGGATGGCCCCTTGCGATGCATGCCCGAATAACCAACGTCTACGTCGTAATAATCCTGCCTGATTTCATTTACGAAAATACAATTATTTAATTTTGAATAGACACATCTTGATAAAAAAAAACTCAGAAAGAATGCAGTTGTTTTAGCGTTGATTAAACTTTCTTACAGACATCAATTTAACTATATGGGGTAATGCTGCTGACAGAAATACATTTACAACAGCAGCAGTAGAAAAAGACGTCTTAAAAATTCCTCACAGCAACGAGAACAATGATGTCTATTTGGAAGAGAGATGCAGATGCAGTGAATGCATGCAAAAAAATTAAAAAATAGAATGACATTAAGATGATGTGATACATTAGCAAATGAGAATCAAAATGGACTGCAATGACTGAAATGGTCGAGAGCATAAAGCGTTAAAATAATTTTTAAAATGATAATTTACAAGAGCCCGATAAAATGTTTAAATTGTATAAATGTTCGAATGATCTGCTGTGAAAAGGAACAGGGAAGGGACAAACTTTGAGAGTGGTGGTGTGTTGAATGCGTTCTTGTTGATCCATTCAGCCTCCTCGTCCAACTCTCCCTCCTCTGTCGGACACACTGCAATGCTCCTCAGCTGGAACCTGCAATCAAATCAAAGTCGTTCAATTGATGCTCGGCATAGTTAATCATCACCGGTGCCATTCAATCAAATAATGTCTTGCTGTACAACTATTCAAAGACAACAAACCTTTCAGGCATATCCATCGTTCTTATTTCCTGGTCATAATCTGTCAGGTGGGCTCGTTCAAGTTCGCCTGGCTCATAAATCTGTCATAAAAAATTTTAAATCCTTTCCACTGTAATCAACTTCCAACTTACTTACCTCAACTCTTTATCATAGATAAAACAACAACATACGACTTAAAATTTTATAACAAATTTTAAAACGCATCCTTAATCCAATGAAGCAAAAAGAAAAACCTGTTTCAAAGAAGCCTTCTTTTTTTTGGTTGACTTAGTTGGCCTAATTTCTGGTTCATCACCGTCTTCGGCTTCATACTATTGAATTTTAAATGCCAAATTAATAAAGTGCAAAATCTAAATTGATAAAATTCTCAACGGAAAATAATGTAAATGGAAATTACATCTGCATCTTCTTCCTCTTCTTCATCATCCTCTGCATGGTCAAGGTCTGTAAAGTCAAACTCGGCACCAAACACATCATAGGCTTCCTGGATGGCTCTGGTATCAATCAAATATATTTATATCGTGAAGGATTTTAAATTAAATCTAATTTTAAATTTTCATCAGTTCTATTCTTCTCTCGCCACTGGATGCATTCAGCGAATAAATATTATATTAGTTTCAATGAGCTAAGCAAACACATAATCATCAAACAAATAACAAAAAAAGACAGACAGAGAAACAGACAGACAGATGGGTAGACAAAGAAGCAATGAACATAAACTAACGCATCATCGTGAGTCCTCCTCTTCTTCACATCTCTCTGCTGCTGTTCATCATCATACACGATAAAGCCATCATCTTCATCCTCTATAAATTGTTATAAAAATTTAGAATTTAATGCAAACAAGTCTATTTAGATCAAATGTCGATGTGATCCTGCTTAACATTGTAAAGACTTGTTGAAGTGTAACTGGAATCATTTTATTTCTTCAAATGATATTGGAAAATTAGCATAATGAAAATGTATGACACATGGTAGAAATATTTTTGTAGTAAAAATTAAAATTCTTAGATGCAATACATGTTTTCATTGAAAATGAACCAAACTCAAATAAATAAACAAATACAAAAAGGCAACCAACCATATTCGTCATCGGATTCAGCAATGACAGCATCATCAGCAACATCACGCCTGACAGGTGAACCTTCCACCCCTCCCCCATCAGCATCAAACAACCTCTCCTCCAGTTCCTTTTTCTTATCACCATGATTTATTTCCTCTTCGTCGTCTTCGTCCTCATCGTTCTCAATTCTCCTCCTCTGGTGTTTCTATCAATCAAACATTTATGGACATTTATAAATTTGCAATGCTGTGCAGGTGCACACAATGTGAATATTTGAAGAATTTAATTGTTAGAAACACCATTGCTGAAAAATTTTAAATATTCGAAATATTTACCCTTTTAATAGTTGTGCCCAAATTTTCTTCGATGAGATCATAATCATCGTCATCGAGATTGTCGTCATCTTCTGATTCACTCTCGTGCTTCCTCTTCAACGCCCCGATGACACTCTCTTCTCCGTCAGATTCATCGATGGGGTTGTCATCGATCAGCCCCTCAACAACCTGGTTGTCATCTGGTGTTGCAATTAAAAATTCAGTCAGTGATATATATGATAGAATTAAGAGATGGAAAAACAATTTCAGCTAACCTGTTGAAATGAAAAAAAGAATAATAATAAATATCTTGACATATCAGTGCATGGCAAAGACACAAAATCCTCACTCAAAAAATATCTTACAACGTTTATAATGAAAAATATTTAAACAATTTGAAACTCAAAATTTAAATCATCAAATTAAATTATTTGAACATTCTACAAAATAATATCTATCAATTTATTAACCTTCTTCCTCATCATCATCGTCGTCGTCGTCATCTTCCTCAAAAGTATCTGCCTTTGGTTTGCGAGATGACTTTTTCTTACGAGGACTATCAAGCTCATCAGCATTATCAACATCTGACATTTCTTCGTCAGACGAAACAACAGCCTTGTCGTCCAAAAACTCCATTTTTAACCTATAATAAAATCAGTTAATGAAGTTTTTAAAAATTTAACATCTGGCATATCATTTCCTCAGTTTTCTTCTAATACATTTATCACATTAATTATATTACACATGTTAGATATTCTATGGCTCAGTACACTTTTTTTAAATTAAAAAAAAAGACTAACTCCTTACCGATCTTTAGTTTATTTAATCTTAATAAGTGTCTATTGCTGATACCTCTGAAAAATTATTGGAAAAAATTTTAATAAGAATTGTAAAAAATATTTGCAAAACATCAAAATTATCAGTATTTGAACCAGGCACAAGACATGGGACTTCTACATGCTAACCAACAATATTAAATATAAATAAAATCTTAAATTAATATTAAACGGCCACTAATTGGAGTATGAGTGGTCAGAATGATCTGCACGGCAGCAGTATTTTGTATTAAAAATTAAAAGGTTATATAATATTTATATTTATATTTATTTTTATAATTTTATAGTAATATATAGTTTATTTATACCAAGGAGTACTCCACATGCAGATGAGGAAATATGAAAAACAAAAAATCGAACGTCAAAATCAGAAGTTAGAGACCAGCCACTTACTTGTTAACAGCTAAGCTACGTTGACGTCAGCAACCAAACGAACGATACGAACCAAACGAATTTCAATTTGTAAAAGAAATCGTAATCGTAAACACGTCCATATTCATAGCCATCCCAACTATTTATAATCATAGTGTCAACAAAGATTATACAAACAAAGATAACTTAAAAAAAATAAATACATCAGATTTGCTCACAGTACTGAAACTTTTTACTCAAAATATATAACGCTGTTCTCTTGCACTGGCTACCTATAAAATATAGAATAATTTTTAAAATTTGCACATTTATGTACAAGTCTCAATCTAAATTATTTCTTAAGTACTTATCAGATATATTATTTGAACCTAAACGCCCCGGTTTAGGATCGTCTTCTTGTTCCCACTTCTTCTTAACTCGTGTTAAACACTCTTCTGCTAAATCTGCTTTTGCTTTTTCTGACCCTTTTCTCTGGAAATCTCTACCTACTTCTCTGACTACTTCTCCATCACTTACGAAGTTCAGAGCGGATCTCAGGACCCATCTGTTTGCACAATTTATTGAAGAGCGCTGTTGAACATCGCGGAAATAGCGCTTTATAAGCTAATTGATTGATTTATCTATTTATTTACTATTATTATCGGATTATTTGTAAAACGCTTTTTATTACGCTCAAAGGCACTAATTAGAAATTAAAATGAAATTAAAATGAAGCGCTTGATAATTTAGTTAAAAGGCGGAGCCAATTAAAACGGTTGTAAAAGTCATGTGATGCACTTACTAGCAAAAAGGCGCAAACGATTGAAAGTCACGTGACGCTGTATCACCAACTAAAGGAAGACCGACAAAAAAAAGGAACGAGAAAACAACGAGAACTCGACAAAAGAACACGAGGAGAATAACACGAGGAGTAGGTATATACAGCTAATCAGAAGACGGAGCACAATTGACGTAAATGTGATTAATGTGATTTTATGTAGTTATTAGGATTAAGTTATTGTTTCTATTACTGAAAGTATTAAATAAACGTTTGACGTAGTTTGCGTTTAAAGTTGTTGCGTTCATCTATCTGAGATCTTGAACCTACGGGTGAACGAACTCTTGACTATCGTTGGAAACTATGACACGGTGTTGGAGATATAGCGAGTACTGAAGCTATAACATCGGTGTTGGTAGTTACGAGGTCGAAGAGGTTACGACACTGGTGTTAGAAGTGGGATCTTCAGATTACACACCGGTGACAGAATACCAGGATTAGAGAACTCAATGTAATTAGTCGGATAAGAGAAACTTAACTACTGACTGTAATGGAAATTGTTCCATTACATGGTCACGTGTGCTTACCTAGGGGAGAGCGCCGTATGGTCACGTGGGTTGGCTACTAGACCAAAGTACAAGCGCTTACCTAGGAGAGAGAACCGTGCAAGTCTATAAATAGCCTGCGCAAATGAGTTAAGCCTCTTTCTTTTCTGTGGCTCTTGTGCCGGAGTCGACATTAGTAAAGTTGGTTATTGTATCGTTGCATTTCGTTAATTTGATTTACTCGGTTATTTAATTAGTTAGGTTTTAATAAAGAGGAATTAAGAATATATCTGTCGTTGCGTTTAGTTAATATCGAACTCGTTACATTGGTGCCAGAAGTGGGGTAGTTATTTAATTGGTGTACGACAATAATTGAATAATTAATAACTAATAGGACGTTTTGACATTTATATACAAAATTAATTAAATACTTAGTTATAAGTTATTGCATTCGTTGTACGTTTGTTGTAAGTTGAACATTCAAAATTACCATGGATCGATTGACGAAGACGAAACAAAAATTACAACGTCTGTCGAACGAACAGATAAAGAAACTACTGAAGAGATCAATCGACGAAGCCAGTGTGCGATTGATGAGCAGATCACAGCTGTTAGAAACGTGGGCAACAATTTTGGCGGACAGCGTTGATTCTCCATGCAGTATTGCGACGGAGGGCGCTGTGTCGAAAGATACTGAAGGTGGATTGACCTTATACGAAAGGAAACAGTTAGAAATGGAATATAAGCTTCGAGAAGCGGAGATTGTTAGACAACGAGAAAAAGATGAGAGGGAATATAAGCTTATAGAAGCAGAGATGGCCAGACAGCGTGAAAGAGATGAAGCAGAGATGGCCAGACAGCGAGAAAAAGATGAAGCCGAATTCAGGCTTAAGAGCCAAGAATTAGAGATTCGACGACTAGAGGTAGAAGGTATGATTAATCGAAGAGTAGCCATGAGGCTAGTGAGGATAATGCAACTAATGAAACTAATGCAACAGACTCGATTTTTCGCGGAGTCGTTAAAACATCTGATAGGAACTTGTCCGTTAGAGCCAAGAGATATTCCTGCATTCTTTGAACACGTAGAAAAAATTTTCCGAAACTATCACGTAGACGGAGAAATTCAAGCCAATTTGTTGATAATGAGTTTGAACGAAAAGGCCAAAACATGGTTGCATATTATTTCTGCCGACGGTCTGAAGGATCATAGCGAAATTAAAAGACTCATTCTGCAGGAGTTCAGGTTAAACCCGACAAAATTGAGAGATGAATTCTTCGCCCTGAGAAGACAGAAAAGCGAATCGTACACAAGTTTCGGGGCGAAATTATACGGCACGCTGAACCACTATTTTCAAAGCCGTAACATTACGGGATTAGAAGATGCAATGAAATTGATATGTGCAGATAGAATGAAAGAGTTGCTATCATGGCATACTCTGGAATTTAATTTGTCACAAGAGCAAGCAGCTTCCTGGATGAGTCATGACGTGTTGGCACAAACGATCGACAAATATGAAGCTGCTATGAACATGAAAGTTTCGAGCGACAATACATATATGCCGGAGAGTATCAATTAGATACAATCGTCTCGAGAAAATGAGCACCAGATATACAGAAGTAGTAACAACAAATCAGCTTCACCCAAACAGACCTGTTTTTCTTGCGGGAAGATCGGTCATATTGCGAAGCGCTGTACATGGAAAAGAAGAGATACACTTACGGCCACTAGAAACGTCATGCGTTGCGAAACGAACAAAGAAACACAAAGACCACAACAAAAACGACAACAGCAGAGGCAGCCAAAAAAGCAACCGCAACAACATCAGGAACAAACTAATGATGAAATAACAAATTATAAAAGTATTGACAACATCAGCTCCTCAAAATATGATCTTAAATTTTCTGGTGAGACTCTACCATCCAGATCGTCCAATGCCGAGAATTTTTCGGAGAGCCTCAAAACTCCTGCGAAGCCGTCGACATCAAGACAAGTTCCAGTAGAATTTAAGTCAACATACGCGTCCTTAGCATCGTCGACAGCCAATGAAAGAAGTTACACAGTTTCAGAAAGCTTGTCAGTGGCGTGTGTAACGTTGGAACACCCATCCCATGAGCTACTGAAGGACAACAACTTAACCTGGCACAAGTACAATTCTTACCGAGCCAAGTGCCTCAAGGATCGTCAGAAGGTAGGGATCGGGCAGTCTACAGAAATGAACACTCTTTTCAGGTTTTGGTCATTTTTTTTTCGTCACCACTTTCACCGAAAAATGTACGAGGAGTTCAGGCAACTTGCCATTGAAGATGCCATAAAGGGTTCAGGTATGATTTGGAATGTCTGTTTCGATTCTATAGCTATGGTTTGGAGAAAAGATATCGACCTGACTTGTTTGAGCACTTCCAAGAGGAAACCATCAAAGATTATCAAAATAGCCAGTTATATGGCCTGGAAAAGTTCTGGGCTTTCCTCAAATATTCAAGGAAGCATGTGCTGGTCAATGGTAGGTTGAGGGGATGGCTCAGCAAGTATCAGAGATTGGAGGATTTCAAAGTTGAGCCCCTTCTCGGTTCGGGGCCAAGCTTTCATCTCAACAGTCAAATGCAGCATCATTTTTACTCGAACAGGCCCCCAATGAATTATATGACCAGAGTCAGACAGGACTCAGAAAGATCAGATCCATCAAGGAATAGAGTGGTGGCCAACATCACCAGCAACCTGAGATGCGAAGCTGTGCCAATGCCAGACTATACAATGCCCGAGTTAAAGAGGCACAAAGATTACTTCAGTTTGGGCTATTCTAAAATTCCGATCATGGATTTGCTTATCCAAAATCAAGAGTATAATACACAGTTCTGTTATCGTCCAGGTGCACGTAATGTTGCCAATTTTTCCTCCAGCATATAGGAAATATTTAGTCAGGAAATATTTATTGCATTTTCGGACATTGATTTTTGTTTTGTTTAGTTTTGATTTTTGTATGTGAGATGAATGTTACATTCATCCTCCTAGGCGTTGGAGGTATGTAATGGAAATTGTCACGTGGGCTAGTTGCTAGCACAAAGCACGTGTGCTTACCTAGGGGAGAGCGCCGTATGGTCACGTGGGTTGGCTACTAGACCAAAGTACAAGCGCTTACCTAGGAGAGAGAACCGTGCAAGTCTATAAATAGCCTGCGCAAATGAGTTAAGCCTCTTTCTTTTCTGTGGCTCTTGTGCCGGAGTCGACATTAGTAAAGTTGGTTATTGTATCGTTGCATTTCGTTAATTTGATTTACTCTGTTATTTAATTAGTTAGGTTTTAATAAAGAGGAACAATCTGTCGTTGCGTTTAGTTAATATCGAACCCGTTACAACTGACGAATAGCTGTATTCTGTGATTTACCTGTCGATTAGTTATTGTGCTGTATTCAAACGATTTTAACGATCGAACGAACGAGTGATCGATTGCGGCAATACACACAAGTGATTGCCAGCACTGTTGTCTTTCTAATAAAGTCATCTGAAATAAGTCTGCTTAGGAATCAAGAATCCCGTAAAGAGAAATAACCAGACCCTACAAGTTCAAAGTGTCGGTTATAACAAAGTAAGTATACACATATAATAAAATATTCCAGGGTATCGTGTTGACGTGTGGAAAGAAAGTTGTTATCGTAATGATGAAAATGAAGACGATGATGAAGGTTTTGAAAGTATTGGAAAAGTTGGCTGTGGCGAAAACACTGAAATGTTTGATATGCAGTAATACTCTACTCGGATTTTATTGCCAGCAACTCGCCTGTTTTCATTTCTAACGGACCTCTCAACGACAACGGTGATTTAAAGGGTAGAAATGTCCGTGAGGATGAAGCTAATGTTGATGTGAATATTCAACATCAAAAGGTGACAGACTATCGTCTTTTTTGAGAAAACTCTTCCAACACGCACGCGCACTTGGAAGGAAAGCTTGGTCCTCGTCTACCTGGATGACGACGGCTTCATTGTTGATTAGGATGAGTTTTTCATCGCTCCATCACTAATCGACGGAAAAGATGTCCACAACAAATTACAACATGCATCCAAGCTATTCTTCTGGTCATTCTACACATCGTAAACTCAATCGAAAGATAGCACTTGCATCAAGTGCCAACAAAATCATTAATCTTGGTATTGTAGCACTTTAATAAGCATTCGTTAAAGAAAATGTTTGTTCACAAATACAAGTTGCATCAAAGATTTGATTGCTAAATATTTTTCGGCAAGATTTTTTAAATTTATTCTTTCGTCGCTTTTCAGTTGTTTTTAGGAATTACGTAAATCATAATATACCATCTCTACATTCACCGAGCAACAATTGATTGTTGATTAAAAAATTGATTAAACAGTTTACTTCATTTCAAAATGCGAAAGCACGTCATATAAAATACATTCAAAATACAACCACGGGCCGAATAAATTATTTAGGCGGGTCGTATGTTGGCCATGCCTGCTCCATCCCATTATGACCAGTAGTAACTAATAAAAAATTCCATAGAAGCAGAAGTAGTGAACAAGTGAAATTAACTATTAACAGGATGGATCGTAATGTTTCTGAATATGTTTCAAGAATAACTTCTCTATGAAAATTTGTTTCGCAATCTATTAGCTTTTGATGTAAAGATCTCCTGCAAACTCCGTTAAAAATAACTCATTAACAGGTTTATGTGCAACAACTTTGTTACTTATTTAATGTCTGTAATTTTTTATTGATAAAATGGGGTAAATTTAACATATTCGTTGGTAACCTTATTCAGCCAGAAAAGTTCATAAAACAATTATCACAAAAATACAAATAAAATAGGAAACGTTGATAACAGGACAATTTTGAAATTACGATTTTAATGTCCAAGATAGTGTAGAGATGATAAAACCTGTTACAAATGAAAAAGTATATAATTTACGTCCTTTTGCAGTTCCTAGTAAAATTATATCTAACGCAAAAAACAATAAAAATGCAGGTAATGTTTGTCCAACAGTTAGAGCTTTTCTCATACTTCTCTCATCAAACAATTCGTTTTTTTCATGAAATTTCTTCATCAGTCTGAAATAACAATCATAAGATTTAATTAACTGTCTTTTATTCCTGGTTCTATAACTTATGTTTTATTAGTTTTCAATGTTCTTACAAATTTTTCTATTCTCACAGTTTTGCAGCTGATTTTTTAGTTTCAGAAAAAAACTCGTTGTTTGAAACTGAGTTACAAATTTTTACGGTAATATCTAGAAAATGGACATGGAAACTCAAAAATTTATCATCTTGAACTAAATTTATATATATATATATAGAGAGAGAGAGAGAGAGACAGTTATGAATAAATTTTTATTTAAAAAAAAAAGTTAAATGCAAACTTGTCTTTATTTTCGAATCTGTTCATCAACCAATCTTGAATGTTGTGATGATCAGCTTTAATTTTATCAGCATCAAAGCATCTTACATCAATGTGAATTTCTTTGCATTCGCCATTGAAGAGGTCTAAATAGTTGTTTAAATATTAGTATTATTATTAGTTTATTGCTTAACTGGATAGTAGATAATATAGATAATTAGGAAGAGGTTTTTGAAGCTAAATGAACGAGACTAAATGAACGACACAGGACTTGAAGCATTCGCAAAGAGCGCTTGTATCGATGGTGGAAATTTTATATACAGAAAAGAAAGTTTTAGGCAGGCATCACTTTGTATTTATTTTTGGTGTTTTGTACCTACTTTTACGGCCATATTTGAACATTATGCATACAGGTTTTACTAGTTTCTAGTGCTGTTATTTGAAGGAATATTTGGCCAAACTACCATTAACCTTAGTAATTAAATGTCAGAAAATAGATCAAAAATTTTACTTTTTGTATTATTTTTATAATTTTTTTTTGTCTCAAGAAGAAACTTGAATAATGCATATCAATGTATAATAGGAAACCAACATGTTTTTGCTGTGTGAAGGAAACGTCTTCTGGAACATCTCCAGAAAGTTATTGAAAAAGTCATTGAGAGAAGACTGTTGTCGTGTGATTAAATAGGTGGTAACCAGTATGGTTTCATGGCAGGGAGATCCACCATTGATGCTATCTATATCATTCGTCAACTACAAAGCAAAAGCGACTGTTCCGTGTCTTTGTGGACTTGGAAAAGGCTTTTGACAGAGTGCCTCGTGAGGCAATCAGGTGGAGTCTACGTAGACAGCTTGTTCCCGAATATCTGCGGCTGGTTATGGCAACATACCCTAACACAAAAACTCTGGTCAGCACAACAGCCGGTAACGCGAATGAATTTGATATTAACGTCGGCGTCCATCAGGGATCAATGCTCAGCCCCCTGCTCTTCATCACGGTGATGGAAAAAATAACCAAACCGATTCGCTCAGATAACATATGGAATGTGATATATGCAGATGATACCGTCCTGACGGCGGCCTCGGAACAAGACGCAGCCAGAAAGTTTGAGGTCTGGAATACCCAGCTTGCCGAACACGGGCTAAAGGTAAACCTTGACAAAATAAAAACTATGATCACCAGTGGTACCGCTGAGCCTGTGGTCTCTGGTCATTGGTCATGTTCGGTGTGTGGGCTGGAGTTGGAAGCAACTCAATTAAATGTCTACGATGTCAGTAGAGGTGTCACAGACAATGCTCGAGAATTACCGGCTCACTGAGAAAAGTGAATGATTTCGTGTGCCCCGCCTGCATCAACCCGCAACAACGGAGCCCAGATAATGATACGATTACCGGGATCGAAACTGTTACTTCATTTTAGTATTTGGGAGATATGCTGGATTGTACTGGATCAGCTGATGCCGCCGCTCGCGGACGCATACGTGCGGCGTGGGGCCGATTGCATCTTCTTGCCTCAGTACTGATGCGGCGTAGCATTCCTCTACCGCTACGCTCAGAACTATACAACACAGCTATATGTTCTGTTCTAATGTATGGTGCAGAGACGTGGCCGATGATAACAAAACTCGAACAGCAGCTTCACCAAGCTGACATGAAGATGATTCGTTGGATGCAGCATGTTGACCTAAGGGATCATATCCATACAACCGAGATCCTGAACCGATCGGGACTGTACAAGTTGAAGAATGCATGTCGTCGTCATCGCCTACGATTGTTTGGCCATGTGAAGCGAAGCGAAAACGATACAAAAATTTCCCTTACTGAGCATCAGGTGCCTGGCACTCGCCCAAGAGGTCGCCCATAAAAGTCAAGGACGCCTTGAAGGCACTTAGTCTCGAGGAGACAGACGCAATGGATAGATCGGCTTGGAGACAGAAACTGATGAATGGAATAAAAAAAAGTCCGACCCATAACGGATGGAGACTATAAACGAGGATTGATTGATTGAATGTATAATATGAAAAGATATTTTACTAAGTAGACCAGAACATTCCTTAGCATTATCGATAATGAGACAGCTGCTAATGGCACGATTAATATTTAATTATATACAGGAATTTACATTTGGTAATGCAGTTGCGACTGCACAAAGTGCAAACAGTGGGTGATACGGCAACGTCCGGCAATGAGGCTGGCCTATAATAAAAGCAACAAAAAGAGCTAAGAAAATATAAAAAGAAGAGATAATAAAATAATATTTAAAAAAAATATAAAGCAACCCATTAGTGATGGAACTCTTTTTGAGCATATAATGTTATTTGATTCATCTGAAAAACACTTGTAAGCAATTGTGATATCGTATATAAAATGTATTGAATCCGACAGGCTGTTTAAACACGTTTCAAAACCTTTAACTCTTGGCACGAGAACATGATCAAATGTTGGGAGACCTAATGTAAAGAAGTAAGAGAATACTCGTTTCAATAATTAATACTAATAAAACATCTAACCATGTGCCAAAGCATATTCCTGACTTCTCTTAAACACCATTGAAGATTTGTTACTATACCTCGTCCCCTCTGGAAAAAGAACTAATAGAAACTTTAAAGTTTATATCTGTTTTAGTTGTCATTCATTCAATATGAATAGAGAGTGATGAGTTCTAACTTTTTTATACATTGTTGGATAACAACTCAGTTGTTTGGTTGTCTTCTTAGAATCATATTGCTTTCTTTCTATGTAAACACAACCATGCTAATTTTGAATTTTGAAATAAATCAAAAGGTAATAAAATCAATTAAAAGCAATGAGAGCATCTTACTGCTTTGAGATATACGCCATAAAATGGTATGTATTTTAGAGAATGCTTCAAAATATATCGAACTGACCCCACAGAACCTCTTCTTAATGCCAAGCTACTTGCTAAAAGCCAATCAACTTTTAAACAAAATTTAAATAGAATTGAAACATATTCTGCCAGTGTAGATTACAAACAAATTAACTCTACCACAAAATGTACACATAATAGTCATAATACAGAAAAGCATGATTAAAAAGTTAAAACTAGTAAAAGTTATTCAGAAATTATGCTGTCACACATTTACAAGACAGGCAAAATTATACCGAAAAGATGTTGTGTGAATGTTTGTCAATACTGTGTTTGTTAACTGCCTATTAAGTATTAATAAGTCCATAAGTGGAGAACATCAACAGATCATGTTGAATGTAGGTACACTGTTGCCCGGCAACACTTTGTTTCCTATGTACATTTAGTTATCTGGACAATCTTTGTTACTTTAGTACACTTGGTTTATTTAGAGAAAAAGTGAGAAGTAATTAAATTAATGTGAGCCTATGTGGACAAAAGATAAATGACCTGGTAAGAGCGGACCTGGCCTGAGAGGTAGCCTTAATGACAAAACGGTAAAATTGAAAAGAAATTTTATTTGATGCTTAATGTTATTTTCATGTTATGTTATTTTCAATCATGCTAGAAGTTTAGAACTTTTTTCACTTTTTCTGTTTTCAATATTCTACAAACTATAAAGTTTGTTTTCCAAAAGTCCAAGCAGATGATTATGGGCCAAATAAAGTTTAACAAATGGCTGAAAACCATTATTTAGAAAATCCTTGTTAGCCTTACACTTACTAACAGTTTTACTTCCAGGCTACATAATGATTTTTCATTTCATGTATTTCAATTCAGCAGATAGTTTAACAATTAAGTAGTCCTTTAAAAATAATTACTTGTACACTGATGGTTGAATAAAATCAAACCACTCTCTTTTTCTTGTATAAATTTATCAATTTCTCCATAAAAAATAATCTGAAATTCAAAATGTTAGCTGTTTAAAAAAAACCTTAGTTATAATAATTTAACAGAAACAAAATCTAACTATAACTATTTTAATAGAGAATTTTGCATGTTAGCTATCAAAATGAAAACAAAAATTAAAAGTTGTAAAAGTGTAAAAACTAATCAATTCATAAAAATCTAACAACCAATACTTCAAAAAATTAAAGGCATTCATATATGGTCAGTGCTATAAGGCGTGCGGAATCGCACGACGAATACGCCGCAGAGATGCTATAAGGCGTGCGGGTTCGCACGGCGAACACGCTGTTGAGATGCTATAAGGCGTGAAAAATCCGCACAGCAAATTGAACGTGTTAATGCTATAAGGTGTGAGGCCGCACGGCGAATTCGACGTTGAGATGCTATAAGGCGTGCGATTCACGGGTAAATACGACGCTTGAAATTATAAATCGTGAGGCATCTGCACCACGTCGAATTCGACGTTAAGATGCTATAAGGCGTGTGAATCACGAGCGGGCGAATACATTTGAAGGGTGTAAAGCGTGAGACTAGCACTACGAATTCGACGTTAAGATGAAAATAAAAAAATAACCCTAACCCGCATGCCGAATTCGACGTTGAGATGCTATAAGGCGTGCGAATCACGAACGGGCGAATACGACGTTCAGACGTTTAAAATCATAAATCTTGAGAAACCCGCACGTCGACTTTGAGATGTTATTAGGCACGAATCACAAATGGGAAAATACGACGTTCGAAATTATATACCGTGAAGAACCCGCACGTCGAAATGTCATGAGGCGTGCGAGCGAATCACGAGTGGACCAATACGACGCTTAGACGGTGAAAAGCGTGAGATTCGCACGACGAATTAGACGTTGAGATGGCCGAAGTCTGTACAACAAAGTTGACGCTATTTTGACGATATAGGACGCAGTCAAAGCGCAAAATTTGACGTTTATTAAGACAATATAAAGCATTTTTGTTATAGAATGAAAATTTTTAAAATAAAAAATTTATTGCATCAAGTGTCGTATAGTAACACACACAGACAAACACACATATTTACACAGTAATGCACAAGGGTACATTGTTCATGTGTTAAGACGAAACAGTTACCAAAAGACCCAAGATTGTTATATCAACACAGTCGACAAAACCACGTCCCTTTTGGTAGCCTTTTCATTTCAACACATGAATGGTGAGTGGTACCAATTTACGCAGCCATCACACTGCACCCCCGAAGTACGAGTTTGGTTGTCTCTTCCAGCGTGATGTCTACAAACAACACAAACATACAAATTTTGTCCAATTGACCACATCTTATTTTCTAATTTTGTCCATGCTTCATTGGAAAAGTATTGTTTCAAGGTGGACATATTAGCACGGTCATCTATGAATCTTGGATCAATTATTTCTTTAACATCGTTAATTGATGCTATGCAATCCGTCTGAACACAGTTTTTGGCTGTTTCTTCAGATAACTATTAATAAACAAAATTTAATTACCATTATTATTATTATTATTATTATTATTATTATTATCAACAATTAATTAAGCGCATTATAAAATTGAAATTTCTCGAAAGCGCTCTCTATTATAAATGAAATCAGTGAAGGTCAATCAAGTACAAATCAATAAAGTATTTCTATGTCAAAATAAATATGTTTTTAAGTTCCACTTAAAATCATCAAGATTTAGTCCAGGCATTCTGAGCGATTGCGGAAGACTGTTCCAGGCAATTGGTCCTGACACGGCAATATTTCTAGTTGCAGTTTGTAGTTGAGTTGTTGTCACTGCCAGTAGGTTTGGCATAGTCTGATCTCAATTTTACACCTGTTGAAGAAGCTGGTTTTTTTAAGATTTTATTTGCTAGATATACTGGTAACAACCCGTTCAAAGCCTTATACATAGTCACACAAATCTTATAGTTGATTCTTTTTTTCACTGTTAGCCAATGTAGGTCTCTTAAAATGGGTGTCACATGGTCATACTTTCTACGTCCAACAGTTATTTTTGCAGCTCTATTCTGTATCGATTGAAGAAAAGCAATAGATCTCTCTGGTAATCCATTGAACAAGCTATTACAGTAGTCTAACCGTGAATAAACAAACGCATGAATTAGAGTTTGCATGGTTGTTTGATGTAAATATTTTCGAACGCGGTATAACTGGCAAAGCTGATAAGAACATGATTTGGATATGGTTTTTATATGATCTTTAAAAGATAATCTCAAGTCAAAAATACACCCTAGGTTTGTTGCATTTTCACAGAATTGTATTTCATTATTATCAATTTTGACTAAATTAATATTAATTTTAGAAAGCTGTTGCCATGTACCGACAGGTAAAAATTGAGTTTTATCTTGATTCAATTTGAGACAATTTCTTGACATCCATGTACCTATTTTAATCAAGCATTCAATGAGATTTTCAACTTTACTTTCAAACAGTTCTGGTTCACTGCTAACTATTATTTGGATATCATCAGCGTACGCAATAGAATGAAGTAATAGAATCCAAAGGATTCTATTACTTCATATACTTCAGCAGTGTACAGTACAAACAGAATAGGTCCCAGGACTGAGCCTTGTGGTACACCAGATGACATTGCTTCAATACCAGATAATTTGTTCCCGAAAAAAACCTGCTGAGTTCTGCCAAACAAGTACGAATTGAAACAATTAGCTACAACTCCATTAACTCCGTAATCATATTGTAGGCGATTCATCAGGATTTGATGGTCTACGCAATCGAAGGCAGCACTTATGTCCAAGAATGTAAGCAACGAAACATATTGTTCATCAATTGCATTAAACAACTCAGACATAACATACAGCAGTGCTGTTTCAGTTGAGTGATAACGTTTATATCCAGATTGAAATACTGGTATTAAGCTATTTTTGTGTAGAAGACTCAGTAGCTGACTGGCAACAACTCGTTCAATAACTTTAGAAACGAAGCAAATGTTTGATATGGGTCTGTAACTTTTCATTTCATTTCTATCATCTTTCATTTCCTTCAAGACAGGTGTAATAACTGCGTGCATACATTTATTCGGAAATACTCCCTCTTGCAAACATAAGTTAACGAGGCTTGCGAGAAAAACAATAAAAATATCTATATGTTTTTAAGCACATGAGTCGGAAAAACATCTAACATACAGGTTTTAGCCGGTAGATCAAGCACAATTTTTTTTATGTCTAGTTCCTCAACGACAGCAAAATTTGTGAGCAGACAATTTTCGGTAAGCCTACATCTGTCAAAAGTAGGTTTTTCGTTAATACTAATAGTATGCTTGATCCGATCGGTCTTTTCTTGAAAAAAACCCATAAATTGAGAAGCCGTGATGTCAACATTATCATAAAGTAAGCTATGGTTACCTTTAAAAAGAATTTTGTTTACTACGTTCCATAGACCCTTTGAATCACCACTACTATCAGCAATCAACGTTTTCCAGTAATCATTTCTTTTTATTGAAAAGAGTTTGGTTTTATTTTTCAAAGAAGCGATCCATTCATTTCGACTCACTGATGACAAACAACATCTGTATTTCCTTTCTTTACTTCGACAGTATCTTTTACCTGCATCATCAAACCACGGAGCCATAAGATCACTTCTATGCTCGATAAACCAGAGAGGCGCAATTTTGTCAGCAATCTTCTTCATTTCGTTATTTAAAACATCAAATTCACGATTCACATCTCGACTTCGACAAGGCTCATGCAGTGGTGAATTCATAACAAGCATGGTCAGTATATTTTCATCAATACGTTTCCATGACCTAGCCAATCTTGAAGTTTTGTTATTACATGCTCGAGTTATCGGTATGTCAACATGTATCAAGCTATGATCTAAGTAAATTCCACAAGGGAATAACCTGATATTTGTTATTTCAAAATTGTGTGAAGTGTACCACCGAGAACATGTGTTGACTCATTGATGTAATTTGTTAATTGGAACATTTCAAACACTTCAATCAGATTAACGGTATGTCGATCTTTGTTTATTTCAAATCACCAACTAACATAACATTCAAACTTAAAATTGTAATATTTTCCAAAACACATATGAGTTCATCAAAAAATGTAGAACTGACTTGAGTCGAACCAGGTCGGTATAACGCTAATAAAACAAAGTCTTTATTATTTATGATCATTTTAATAGCTACAGTCTCGAACGTTGTTAGAACAGGTAGTTCAATTAATTTATATTTAAAGTTTGATCTAAAAACTACAATTATTCATCCATGTCGCGGATCATTTAATCTAAGAAAATCAACATAACGATATCCTGATGGTATAGATGATTTTACTGAAATATTGTCTGTTGAACCATGCCATGTTTCCACTAAAACAAAGATGTCCAAACCCTCTTGAATTAATTCCTAAATAATATCAGACTTTGAGTTGACAGATCTTATATTAAGTAGGCCAAGCAAAATGCTGCACTTATTTTTTGTTGCATCTGTAGCCAAATCTTTAATTACTTTATTTTTACTGAGACAATTGTTTAAGTGAATTTTTTTTGAAACTGTATTATCTTCCATCTTCCAACTGGTCCTCTGACACGGTATAAAAAATTCTCTTTATCATCAGACTGCATTGATTTAGCTTTTTCAACAAACGTTTTATACTCCTGCCTTTGTTCCTTTGTCAAATCATCACTTAGTCCAACACCGGCAAATTTATCAGCTATTGTTTTCATCTTGTAAACATTTCTCATTATTTCATTATTGAATTCTTAATCAATTATTAATCATTATTAAAAACTTCATTTTAATTTTTTAAAGTATTATTATCACTTGCAACATACAACAATAAACAAAATTTTATTATCCCTAATCATTATTAAACATTTCAATTTAATTTTTATTACTACCTTCCGATTTTTGCAGTATGCCACATTAACTGCTGCAGTGCACCCACACAACAAGGAAACTTTCTATCACATCAACAGCTTTTTCAACATCACAAATCTATCTCCTAACTTTAATGACTCGGAACTCATTTTTTCAAATTAGAGTGATAAAATAACAAATTTTATTTTATTTAATTAAATTATATCAAACAAAACAATAAAAATCAAGCGAATCTTCAAAAGTCTCACCGCTCACAACTGAAAGAAGAAGGAAAATGAACTCTTGCCAAAGATAATAAATAATAGTATTATGACGCGCAAATAAAAATTTATTTAAAAAAAATTTTTTTTAAATTTATTTTCAATTTTAAGTAACGAAAATTTTTAAAAATACTTTTTAAAATAATATTCGCCATAAAAAATAATTTTTGAACATATTTTTTGTATGCACGCCTTATAGCAGTCTAACAAGTTCATGGTCGGCATGCGCGCACGCCCGATAGATTTATCGTTCATATAAATTATATTTGACCATTAAAATTTAATGTTGATTACTTGTTCATTTTTAAATTCTTAAAAATGGTTTCATGACCATGATCAAGATTAAAATTTAAAAAAAAATTTCATATGAAATTTATTTATACAAAAATAAAGTTTTTACTTAAAAAAAGCAAATAAAACCTGAACTCCTGATATTTCCTCAGCTAAAAATAATATCATCCTCTGATAAAGTGAATAAAAGCATTCATCTCCATAGTTATAAAGTTTTCTTGAAAATGGGTATACGCCAATTTTCAATGCACACCAAACTAAAAAACCGGTAGGAGTAGTGATCCCTATGAAAGCCGCTGATGCTACCCCTCTGAACAAATTGCAAAAATATAAAAATCCTATCATCATACAATAGATTTAATGCAGCGGTGAAAGTCTTTCAGTAGATAAAACTTTGTTGTTAATTAGAAATTACAGAGTGAAGCAATCGGGGGAGTAGAGCGGAGAAGCAAGCTCACAAACCTAAACAAAACTAAAAGCGGACTAAAAACTAACTTTTGATGATTAAGGACACACGTGATAGAAGATTGCCACAAGCCACAGTAAGTATATGCACAGTGAGACATGGCTGAAAAAAGAGAGCATGTTGATTAATACACACATACACGTAAAGTATATTTTCGCACTGACATATATGTTAAATGTTTATAATAGACTTATGGACATGTTTGTATATATTGTTTTGTTTTGTTTCCATACATATTGTTTTGTTTCCGGCATGTCGGACGCACGCAAAATCGTAAATAGCGAATTATCATGGTATTTAACTAAAAATGTTAAAAAGTTGAAAAACGACAAGTTTAGAAATATTGTAGCTGATTTTTATACCTCTGCTGAACTTCAGAATGGCTTCAAAGTTCTACAGGAAGAATTAGAAAGTTTGAAAAAGAAAAAAGTTAAATTTGCAACACGTGGAAATACTAAACTGGATAAGTTAAGTAATTTTTTTGAATTATTTTCAATTATAAATACTGACAATTTGGGACGTTTGTTAATATTATTGTTATTGAAACATTTATTAAGAGCTAATTTAACGAATCTCAAAAGCGCTATCTATCAAAGACTAAACTTAGCAACATAATTGAGATAACAAACGAGAAATCATAATGCATCTTACAGAAATAAGATTAAAATTTAGTCATAAACAGAGAAGGTAATCGATTCAATATAACGAAAATACGAAATAATATTTAGAACATGTCGACTAGACAGAAAGAATTGATCAATAATGTATTACAATGAAAATAAATAAGTTTCCAGTTTCTTCTTGAAATCACGCAGGTTTAGGTCCGGATTTCTGAGAGCAGCAAGCAGGTTGTTCCAAACAGAAAAAGCAATATTACGAAAACCTATACAGAGACTCGTTGTTAGGATCAACAGCAGGTTTGAAACATCGAATTTCAGGTGTGCTCCAGATGCTTTTGAAAATCTCTTTTTGAACCTGTCAAACAAATAAGATAAAGCTAGACCGTTGATAGACTTGTAGACAAGTGTTGAAATTTTGAACAACACTATTTTGTCGACGGTTAGCCAATGAAGTTCGGTCAATATTGGAGACACATGGTCGTATTTTAGAGCTCCAACAACAACTTTTGCGGCTCGATTCTGTATTGACTGCCGTACAGCCATGGATCGATCAGGTAAGTCATAAAACAAACTGTTGCAATAGTCGACGCGTGAGTGCACAAATGCATGAACCAACGTCTGTAACGTGGACGCATCTAGGGATCGTCGAATTTGATTGATTTTCCTGATTTGAAACATGCATTCGGCCGAGAGCTTCTTAATGTGTTGTTTCATTGACAAACCTGAATCAGTTATGAAGCCCAGATTAGCTGCTGTCTGACAATAATGGCAAATATGGAATAATTTCATCATTAACAGTTATTGAATCTATGTCTATTCTTGAGAGTTGCTGCCATGTTCCGATTGGTAAAAAAACAGTCTTGTTTTGGTTTAGTTTTAAACCATTGTTTTGCCTCCACTTATTAGCCCCAGACAAACATTTAACCAATTTGTCCAATTCTGATTTAAAAGAATCTGGTCTGCTCGTAACAATAATTTGTATGTCGTCCGCAAAAGCATGACCTGAAAAACCAAATGATTCTATTATATTATATTTTTTTATTTCATAAATTTTTGATTAATAAAAAATTAATTATTAAAACAGTTTTTTGTTTCATTTAAATACAATAAAAAATAAAATTATATAATTGCACTGCATAACAAGACAATTATGCGCGCAGCACATAAGCCTACTAAACAATATGTGCGTTTGAAGGTTTCAGGTCTAGAGGCTAATACATCAAGATGTCAATGGTACATTCAATCTCATAAATATGCTTAACGTGCATGTAAAGCATGCTTATATGATAAAAACCCTCTTTTTTTAGCCATATCTCACTCCGCATATATGTGGCTGGCAAACTTCAGTCTCATCAAGGACACGGGACAAACATGTTATGTATACATCATATATATAGAATCATATATATAGAATTGACAGGATATGTAATGAAGGAAGTTATTCATTATATCAACGAGTTTAAGCGAATGAATGATTTTTAATATATGAGCATATATATAGTTTATTCCACATATATTTATAAAGAATATACACATTATGTATATATATATTATATATATATATATATATATATATATATGGAATTTTCACAATTCCATCATGAAAAATAGTCATCTTATATATGAATTTTCCTGTCCCATTGGTAAATGTGTGCACCAAACTTCTTCATATATAGGAATGACCACCACTCAACTTTCTCGTCGACTTACCATGCACAAAAGAGAGGGTGCGATCAAATCTCATACAGAAACAACACATAATACAACATTAACACGTTCAATTCTTGACAATAACACAAATGTTCTTTACAAAAACTCCGATTATTTCACATTAAAGATAGCCGAAGCCATATTAATAGAAATAAAAAATCCAAAATTAAATGTTCAGCTACAAAGTATAACAGTACTTCCGACTCACAAGCAGTTATCTAAACTAATTAATAATTCTCTCACCACCAAAAACAACAATAACAACCACGTTACCACCACCAACAACCATGTTACTACCAACAACAATGTTAGCCATGTTAGAGATGCCAACGACCATGACCACAACACCAACATGTTAATAATTGCAGCAACAACACCAATACTAATGTTAACAACAACAACATCATCATTGTCAATAACAACAACAACAACAATAACAACAGCAACAACAACAACAACAGCAGCAGCAACAATAACAACAACAATAGTAATAATAATGATAATAACAACAGCAACAACAACAACTACAACAACAATTGTAATAATAATAATAAGAACACTTTTTTATTTTCATCGTAAAAACGTACATGAAAAAAAAACAATTGTCAATGATAATCAAAATTAAAATATATATATGTATATAGTAAAATGTCTTAAAATAATCTCCGAAGCTCGTCATCTTATAAAAAGGATGTGTACAACGAGAGAAGGTTGGTCCTAAATGGTTCATTCAATTTGCATTTCTATCACAGTAAATAATATATGACGATGAAATTGTTGCATAAATAAGGTTGTTGATAAAATCATCAGTCCATATTAAATTAATAAAAGACAAATCAAAAGTATTAAAAAAACCTAAAGGGGATATTTCAAATGTATTAATTGTAACGTTAGAGTGTTTATAATTATTGGTCAAATTATTTTGCAAATTATGGGAGTACTTCGCCATTTTATAGTCCTTTGATTTCAGAAAGTTTGTTTTATGGCAAACCGTGAGCTCCAGGATTTCAATGTTGCTATCGCAAAGTAGTACGATGTCAGGACGAAGCGTCTTGAAGAGGCAGGATAGTGGCTGATACTTATCTTGATCCGTGTCTGCATATATGAAGACATCAGGGCCTGCGCATGATTTCAACCTGTCTAATATTATTGAAAGAATTTTGTTGTGACGTGTTGTAAATCGCTTCAGTGCCGACGCCGCGCCACAATTTGATAAAACGTGTTTGTTTGTTTAGCAAGCGGACATTGTGCAGTGGATGATTTTCCCCATCTTTGAAAGTTGGCGTTTGTCGGAAGTTGTTGGATTAAGCTTTTTCTGACAAATTTAAACAGAACTTCCGGGAGGCATGTTACGTACCTCGACCAACGATCTATGCGAACAGCTTGGATGTGTGCTTGAATTGATTTTAATATTGTTCCTTGACATTGAAGGGATGTCAGATGATTCGAAGCTGCGGTTTGTTGTTGTTCTTTTATTGCTTTAAGCGTCGGTTTGATGTCGTTGACGTCAGGAAGCATATTGTCGATTTTAATGAAGTCGCTGAACGATTCGCTCCACAGGCATTTTAGCTCCTCGTTTCCATTGGCTTTTAAATAGTTGCGAAGTTTGATCCTCAAAGATTCGGCGTAATGTTTGAGAAATCTAACATTTAATCCACCCAGTTTGAAGGGAAGTGTTAAGCTCTCTGACAGGCAACTACTGACTGGCAATGACAACCACATTCTCACTGCCTCTACCACCAATGGGTCAAGGCTGCTGCCAATCCAGGTTAACGAGACATCGTATGTCCCAAGCTCAAAAGCCAGTTGTGATGGTATGTATCGTCTTAAAATTTGGAGCTTCCATTGTGTTGACGTATCTAGTTCGCCGATCACCGACAACAAACCTTTTAATTTACCGATTAGCAGTTTTTTTGGCTTCTGTGCCCTTTCCTTCAAAGTCGTATATTTTGCCAAAGTATATGAAGTGCCCCCTATTCCGACTTGAGGAATAGTTCCATCGTCTATGGTCAGCTTTGGAAGGAACTGTTCGTAAACACCATTTTTTTTCTCATGTCGAATGTTGAGCATTTATCTATTTTTATTTTCATACCCGTTTTGTTACACCAAGCCCGGTTGATGTCGATCAACTTTTGAGCACTTTCCGTGCTGTTAGCAATAATTGCCGTATCATCGGCAAACTGCATCCATGCTCTCGTTTTCAAGTTGGCTGTAGGTCCCCAAATGTAGCCGCATTGTTGATATTCAGGCTTTTCCAGTATTTTCATTAAAGGATTGAAGCACAAATTGAACAGCATAGGCGAAAGAGGGTCCTCTTGGAGCACGCCACGTTTAACCCGGATAGGAGGTGTAAGTTGATCGCAACCCGAAACTGATATGGTGTAGTCGGCGTATGTGAATTTTATTAAATCAGCGATCATTGGCGGTATATGATGATGGTCTAAGGTGGATGAGATTAGGTCGTGGCTGACCTCGCCGAAAGCGTTTTTAAGATCCAACAAAATGACAATTATTGTTCTTTGATGTTTTTTAGCGTCATTGATCATATGTGATAAAAGCTGGGTATGTTCGGTTAGTCCGTCGACCTTCGGATAAAAATCTTTTTGGATGTTTTTATTGATGAGGTTGTTTGATTCTAAAAAGTTGTACATTTTGTTGTTAATGCAGGATGAAAATATTTTATAGAGCGTAGGTTGAAGTGTTGTGGGTCGGAAGTTGGCCGGATCATGGGCGTCACCTTTTTTGTGAATAAGCAATGTGAAACCTTTCTTCCAGCATAATAACAATAACAATGATAATAATATAAACTAGGAAACATGAATATTGTAGTGTGATGATATGGCTGATTTTTGTTTTTCATTTGTTGATTTACTTTATGGTCGTTTTTTCAGCAATTTTAAAATTTTAATTTTAATTTATTTTGTTTAATTCTAATAGTATTTTCAAAAATGTTTTCCGCTTAAAATTAAGTTATACGGTATGACGTCATTTGTTTATAAACGGTAATTTTCGTTATTATTTAAAATATTTTGCACTAACGATGATATATTTTATATCGAAAAAGCTTTCTGCAATTATTTATTTTAATAAACATGAACAATAATAATTTTAGTTTTTTACTTAATAAATTAAATATCTATAATAAAATTTTAATTAGAAAACTTGAAAAATTAATGATGTATAAATATAATAATTGTATTAACGCGGTTGATTTTCTTAAAAACTGTATCGAATATGGTCTCAATCCTAATATATATATATATATATATATATATATATATATATATATATATATATATATATATATATATATATATATATATATATATATATATATATAAACCATATCAATTAGTAAAGAAGACAGTAAAATTTGCAAAATCACTTATAACAATAAATAAATGCAAATCATAGGAACAATGGTCTGGGTTATACAAATTTTAGAAGATCATTTATCTAAAGTAACATGGCCAGAAATTTCTGTTACGTCCATTGAGTTATATAATTCCATGGTTACGTCTGACCTGAATACTGATTTTGACATTTTTTTTAAAGGCATATTTAGATTGTGTGGATGCTGTCTGTCCAGTTATCTGCTGTAAAAATTTAGGAAATCCTGGATGAATTTAGAGCTATATAACTGTTCAACTCATAAAAACAATCTCTATAAAATATCTTTATTAAATCCTACCTTAAAAAATAAAATAATATATACACATTATAATAATTATTTCACGAAAATTAAAAGATTACAACAGAAATGTTTCTTTAATAACAAAATTCCAAAAACGTCAAAGAAAAATAGAGTGTATTAAATAACATTATTAGATGTACTAAAAGTAATTCTAATCAACTTATAGTAAACGAAGAATCAGAAAATTATTTAAATACAGTAAACGACATTTATCATTTTTTTATTAATCAAGGGTACAAACTAAATAACAGTTACAACAATGTATCTGAATCAACTGCAACCAATTATATTCCCAAAGTTGACTATAATTTTCCATCCTTACAGTTCTCTATTACATCACCTGTTGAGATAATTTCAATAGTAAATAAATTAAAATGTAATAATAGTTTGGATGTAAATTATCTATCTACCAAAATTCTCAAACAAACAATCCAATTCTTAGCTTATCCACTTTCTGAGATCTTTAATAAATCTATTAAGGTAGGAATTTTCCCAAGTAGTTTGAAATTGGCAAAAGTTTTATCCATTTTTAAAAATGGAGATCCCAAACAATTTGTCAACTACAGACCAATTTCAATACTCCCTGTTTTTTCCAAGGTTTTTGAAAAATTAATTTTTCTTAGGTTTTGGGATTATTTGAAAGAATTTAATTAAATTAATAAAAACCCATTTGGATTTGTCCCCAAAGCATCAACTGAACTGGCAATTGCTAAACTCTATGGTTCCTTAATTAAGGGCTTTGAATCCAAACAATTTACATTAGGCATTTTTGTGGATTTAAGTAAGGCTTTCGATGTTATTGACCACGAAATATTGCTATCCAAGCTGTCTGTATATGGATGTCGTGGTATCACACTTGCTTGGTTTAGGTTTTATTTAGCAGATCGTAAACAATATGTATCTATTGACAACGTGGAATCTTCATTATGCAATATTCATACTGGAGTCCCTCAAGGGTCGATATTAGGCCCGTTGCTATTCATCCTGTTTTGTTTATAAATGATATCTTTTCAGTTTCTAGCCATTGCAATACAATTCTTTTTGCAGAAGATACCAATATATTTTTGACAGACAGTAATCCTGTTAATTTGTTTCGTCTCATGAATGAGCAATTGGATAGATACTATGATTTTTTTTTAAATAATAAATTACCTTTAAATCTGAAAAAATCTTGTCACATTTTGTTTGGCCCTAAATTAAAAACCAACAATGTCATGTTCAATAACCTAACTATAAAAATTGGTGATGTAATCCTACCACGTATTCATTCAATAAAATTCTTGGGTATCATGTTACAGAGTGAAACATATTGAAATGATCCTAGCAAAATTATATAGAGTTAATCTTAATGGAATAATATATAGAGCACGCAATAAACTAACGTTACCAGTTATGATAACGTTGTACTATTCCCTCTTTATTACATATCTAACCTATAGAAATATTTTTTGGGGGAGCACGGCCAAATATTTAATTAGCAAACTATCTGTTGCCCAAAAAAAGTTCTTACGTACATGTTTTTCACTATCTAAATTAGACCACACCAAGCCAATATATACCTTTTACTAAATTCTTAATATAGAGCAACTAAATATCTATCAAACACTAATATTCTTCAACAAAGTTTTATATATGGAAAACTACCAACATTTCAATACATTTGAATTAATTACAACTAATAGTCAATATAATGGCAAGTTTAATTATTGAAAAGTAGGACAGTAACTAATGATAGGCATTGGGCAGTCTTTGGTATAAAATTATGGAATGAGCTGCCTTTAGATGAAGTGAATATAACCAGTATAAGGTCATTCAAGCTTTCACTCAAGGAAATTGTTTTTAAAAAAGTTTAATTTAATTTTTTTTTCACATTATACTGTGTAGTATGAATATATGTTTATTTTATATATTGAAATCTTTGTAACAATTTTTATTAAATTTATTTTAGGTATTTTTTTATATTCTGTTTGACTTGAATTGTGCAATTTTAGTTAAGGTGATCTGCACAAGCTCGCTTATTTGATCTCCTGGTTTTTGCTAAATAAAAGGATAAAAAAAAGTGCTGAAGATGATTGAAGAATCGAAATAGGTCCTACACACTCGAAAATAAATTGGAAAGCTGTATATTACTCTAACTTTAATAAAATTAATAATGATGACAAGAATTTGGTTAGAAATAATGAGAAATGTAATAAAAAAACTATCCAAAGCTAGAAACTCGGTAGATTTCATAAATTACTGCATATATATATATATATATATATATATATATATATATATATATATATATATATATGCATGGTGGATTGGTAAAGTATTTCAGAAACCACTTTAAATGTGTAAAAATTCCATTGCCAGTGATAATTACATTTGAAGCGATATGTTTTAAATTGACATTACGGAAAACTTCAGTAATTTTTTTGGTGATTTATAGGCCAGGTTCTGCTCCTCCTGCTAAGTTATTTTTTGAAGAATTAATTTTAGTTTTAGAACAAATCACACTTTTATGTTGCAGCATTGTAGTTGCAGGTGACTTCAACATACACGTAGAAACTTCGTCAGATATATATGCAACAGCCCTTGCTGATATTTTTTCTAGTTTTGATCTAGTCAATAGAATTAATCAGTCTACCCATGTGCTTGGTGGTACCCTGGATTTGATTGTCACATCGGATGGTTTTTTGTTAGAAGATATATTGGTGTACTCATCTGGTATCTATTCAGATCATGGTTTAGTAACTGGTCAATTTTTAATCAATCCGACTCCAGTCATTTTCAAGAAATCGTGGATCAGATCCCGGAAACAAGTTGATAAAAAACGTCTGACTGAGCTTTTGAGGTGCTCACCTATCTCGAAACATTATGGTCAGGATGATGATGTCGAATTGGGTTTTAAAATATTCAATGAAGAGATTTTAAAAATTGAATGAAGTTGCTCCACTTCATGAAGTTCGATGGAAACATGTCCCGACTGCCCCATGGTTTGACAGTGACTGCAAAAAGGCTAAGCAAATGTGTCGAAAAAAAAGAAGGTTCAGAACTACTGGTTGTTATAATGATAAAGTTGATTGGGTACTGGCAATGAAACAAAAGAATGTTAGTTACTCAGTGTAACGAAGGAGTTTTTGGTTCGCGAAAACATGTCAATTTAAAAATAATTCCAAATACTTACGGCAAACGATTAATAAATTATTAGGAAAAGAGACAAGTGTTGAAAATGAAGTTGGTTCAATGCATAGCGCCGATGATTTAAAAAAATTTTTTGCTGATAAGTTGAAAGTGACCGAAAAGTCAACTGAATGTTTTAATTTTCCAGTTATTTCTACTAATACTAATATTATGTTTCCACTCGAATCGTTTCCAGTGTTGACTGAAGAACAGATATCTAAAGTTGTTAATTCGTCACCTACGAAGTCATGCTCACCGGACCCAATACCGACGCATGTATTCAAAGAATATGCTGACTGTTTTATTGTTTACTTAACAGACTTAATCAACATGTGCTTAATGAAGGGTGTAATGCCACAGGTTTATTGAAATAATATATATGTATATTATATATGTTTCAATATATTTATGACTTTCCATAGTTTCAGACAATCTTATATTATTGCTAACTTGACTAACTTGCACGTGTATGCTTTTCGCTTTTGTTCGACTTGCGTGTCTTCTAATATTTCAATTAACGTTTCTTTAATAAACAATTATATTAAAAACAAACAAAGAAGTTTTTTATTTTAAACAGGTTATGTGCCCAGAACGCTTAATAAATTGTATAGAGAAAAAGTTATTTTGAAAACAAAAAGAAAGAGATTGCAATTCGTGACTAAAAGAACTTTTCCAACTATCGTTGAAGCAAGAACATATATTTTTTTTCCTTCAAAATGGACTCAAAGCTTCAAATAAAAGTTAAGTTGCGCAGCCGATTGGCCCATTTGGAAACGTCGTGTTCGAGATTTCATGGACTACCATGAGGGCGCACTTGATGTGATTGATGGGAAGTTGTCAAATCCAGAATTACTAGAAAATCAAACAGAGCAACAGACAAAAGATTTTAAAAATAAATTAGATCTGTTTAGAAAGGCAAACAGTTATGCCAAATCAGTAATTGCGAATGCAGTCACAGACACCAAGAAAAGCATATGATGAAACATCAAATGTAATTTTGTGCACGTCAGCCAGTAATCAAACACTGAGAGACAACACTAAGTGGTATATTGACAATGGAGCAACAAAGCACCTAACAAACAATCCAGATAATTTTGTTACTTATGAGAAGTTTGTCGCACCATGTTCTGTTCAAGCTGCAGGAAAAGAAGTTCTTGCTGCTGTGTGTAGAGGCGAAATAAATATGCTGTCAACAGTAAATTACAAACAACAGTATATAAAACTCTCAGATGTCTGGTATGTTCAAAATATAGGTAGAAACCTGTTTTCCATATTAGCCGCACAAGATAAAAATTCAAAAAACAGCAAGTTTGAATCTTATGCAACCAAATGTCAACTCAGTATAAAGAACCGAGTGGTAGTACAAGGGACAAGACGAGTAGATGGTTCCTTGTATGAGGCAAACTTGATTTCATTAACTCCAGATACACCGGCTGAAGTGAATATAGTCAGTGAAAATTCAATAGTGCAGCTCTACCATGAACGTTTTGGTCATCAAGATAAACGTCACATAAAGAATGTTATAGAAAAGGAGTTAAACATTAAAGTTCATCTTGACAAGGATTTGTGTGAACCATGTCTCTATGGTAAAGCACATCGGTTAAAATTTGGCAAGAGAAATGCAACCAATAAACCAGGTGAACTACTATCAGCAGATGTTTGTGGTCCTTTCAGTACAGAATCATTTAATAGTAAACGATATTTTGTTGTTTTCAAAGATCATTACAGCAAAATGAGGTTCATATCTTTTCTTAGACACAAACAGGAAGTGAAACAGGCACTACAAAATATTTTGTCTCAAGCAGTGACTCAAGGTCATAAAGTAAAAGAATTTTTGAGTGACAGTGGGGGTGAGTTTGACAACGAAGAAGTTCGAAACATCCTGCGCAGCCATGGAATCACGCAAAGACTAACAGCACCATATACACCTCAACAAAATGGTGGTAGTGAACGTGAAAACAGGACAATAGTAGAAATGGCACACACATTGAAGTACTCAAATCCAGATTTTGAATTTCCAGTCGCTATGTGGGCTGAGTTATGTTCAACTGCAGTATATTTACTTAATTGAACAGACAAGTCGTCGATTGAAGATAAAAGCCCATTTGAAATTTGGACAGGTAAAAAGCCGAGAACTAACTATTTGAGAATAATTGGCTCTACATGTTTTGTTCACATACCTGATCAAAAACGTCAAAAAATGGATAAGAAAGCCATAAAAGGTTACCTTGTTGGTTACGATGGTGACGAACGCTATCGTATATGGCTCAAAAATCAATATAAAATGATATTCTCAAGAGATGTAGTTTTCCAAGATAAACCTATGAAATGTACAACATCATTTGAACATCAGAGTCAAAAAGATTTTACAACAAATCAATTGCAAATCAGAAAATGACTCGAGTAGTAGAAATGATGATTCAAAAGAAGAAATTACAGATGACACTGAGAAGATTATAGATAATTCAGTTAAAGTTCAACTCAGAGATAGGTCAAGCTTGCAGAAACCTAAGAAGTTAGATGATTATGTGATGCAGGCTGAGACATATTTATTAGATGTACATGAACCAGATACATACGAAGAAGCCATTCAAAGCAGGGAAAGTAATTATTGGAATGATGCCATGAATAATGAAATTAATTCATTAAACAAAAATAGAACTTGGGAACTTTGTGAGCTACCCAGAGGAGCTAAAGTTATTCCATGTAAATGGGTTTACAAAATAAAAACCTTGCCAGACGGAAGTGTAGATAGATACAAGGCAAGACTTGTGGCAAAAGGATTTTTACAACGACAAAATGTAGATTACAATCAGACGTTTAGTCCAGTAGTAAAGTTGACTACAGTTCGCTCTGTACTAAGTATTGCAGCAAGTGAAAAACTGCATCTTCTTCAATTTGATGTATCAACTGCATTCCTGTATGGTGAACTTGATGAAGTGAGCCACATCAAACAACCAGAAGGATATAATGATGGCTCAAATAAAGTTTGTCGATTGCTCAAAAGTCTGTATGGTCTAAAGCAAGCACCTCGTTGTTGGAATCAATGCTTTGGCAAGTTTCTTTTTGAATGTGGCTTTAAGTCGAGTGAAGCGGATCCATGTATGTATGTTAAAAAACAGAATGAAAACATTATGATGTTAGCATTGTATGTTGATGATGGACTGGTAGCCGCTAGCAACACAAAAGATTTAGATCTATTCATTGGAAAATTGAAGCTGAAATTTCAGGTTACAGTTAAACCTACAACATATTTTCTAGGTCTTCAAATAGAAACTCTATTGGATGGAAGCATAAAAGTTTGTCAATCTGGTTATGCAAGGAAAATTCTTAAACTTTTCAGATTTGAAGAATGTAAACCAGTTCACACCCCAATGCTTAAAGAAAATGATAATAATCAATCAGACATAGCAGGTTCAGAATACTCTTTTCGACAACTTGTTGGAGCATTAATGTATCTGATGTTAAGTACAAGGCCAGACATTGCGTACAGCATTAGCTATTTATCACGCTCCCTCGAGAACCCAACACCAGGAGATATAATAAAAGCAAAACGAGTGCTTAGATACTTAGCAGGAACAATCGATCAGAGCATTGTGTACAGATCAGACAGTACAAAAGGAGTTTTACAGTGTTTCAGTGATTCAGATTTTGGAGGCTGTAGAAAGACTGGACGTTCGACCACAGGTATTGCAGTGATATATGCAGGAGGCATAATATCATGGATTAGTCAACGACAGGCCATAGTTGCAACATCTACAACAGAGGCTGAGATCATCGCTGCGACAGAGGCTGTCAAAGAAATAATTTGGCTTCAAAGATTATTCAAATCATTACAGGTTGATTTGAAAGATGTGCCAATCTTGCAAGTTGACAACAGTGCTGCAGTCAAATTAGCTCAGAACCCACAATTTCATCGGCGAACAAAACACATTGATTTGAAGAACTTTTTTATTAGAGAAAAAATTCAAGATGGAACGGTTGATATCACACAAATTTCAACAAGTGATCAAGTCGCTGATGTGATGACAAAGCCACTGGACAGTCAGACTGAAACTCCTGTGTGGACATATGGGACTAATGTCATAAAATGTTTTGAAACGAGGGAAAGTATTGAAATAATATATATGTATATTATATATGTTTCAATATATTTATGACTTTCCATAGTTTCAGACAATCTTATATTATTGCTAACTTGCTAACTAACTGACTAACTAACTAACTTGCACGTGTATGCTTTTCGCTTTTTGTCGACTAACGTGTCTTCTAATTAATATTTCAATTAACGTTTCTTTAATAAACAATTATATTAAAAACAAAGAGGTTTTTTATTTTAAACAAGGTTTGCAAGCATGCAATTGTCACGCCAATTCTAAAGAAGACAGGATTAGATAAATCAGATCTGATAAACTATAGGCCGGTGTCAAATTTGTCTTTCGTTTCTAAAATTATAGAACGTTCCGTTGAGTTAGTTTTAAATAATCATATAAATAAAAATGGTATTTGGCCTTTGCATCAATCTGGATACACAGTAGGTTTCATTCGACCGAAACAGCTCTATCGGATATATTCTCTCATGTTTATTCAGCAGTTAATGTACAAAAAGTAACTTTGTTGACATTCCTGGACATGAGTTCGGGATTCGATACTGTGAATCATAAAATCCTGCTTACGTCACAGGTGCCTCAAGGATCTGTTCTTGGACCGATTCTTTTTAATTTGTACGTTGCAGAGATATTGAATTTACTGAATAAAGATGGTTATTATTGCCATGGGTACGCAGATGACATGCAGATTTGCGTTTCATGTTTCCCAGATGAGATGCCTACCGTATTAGAGAAACTGACAAAAACTATATCTGATGTCGGCTCGTGGCTGGGTCAAAGTAGACTAAAGTTGAATCAGACTAAGACTCAGTTCATGTTGGCTGGTACATGGCAACA